ATGTTTTTCAAAACTTAACTCCCGACGAGTTGGTCACTCTTCGAAAGTGTCAAAGTGCGATAGATTCAGAGAGGAACTATCAATAACACACGCCAACTCGAATGATATGAGAATCGACTCGAGAGAGTGATTTTTAACAAAGAAATTTGTTTATCCATATATTTTGAAAACACCATCTTGTCACTATTACACAGTGTAATTTGGCCTGGTCAAACGATTCAAAAACCGCGTGGATGGGTTTTCCCAAAGAACGGAATGCAGTTGAAAATCGGTGTCCCAAATCGAGTCAGTTTTCAGGAATTTGTGGGACAAGTAAAGCACACTGATGTATTCAAAGGATACTGCATTGATGTGTTCACATCTGCTCTAAACTTACTGCCATATGTTGTGCCATATAAGTTTCAATCGTTTGGAGACGGTCTCCAAAACCCAAGCAACATCAAGCTCGTACGCTTGATAAATGCTGGTGTGAGTATTTCTTTCCAAATAAAAGACTCTAAAATGCTTTGGCAAACTAGCTAATAAATTAGATGCTAGCCGATAAACTAGTCACGTTTGATATAAACTAGTTGATAAGCTAGATGAGATATAAAAGGCCTTGAAGAACATGATGAAAATTTAATTGGAAAGATATAAGGGGCATCAGTAGAAAAGAAAAATATGGAAAAATGGCTAGATTATGGGTAACCAAGCGAAGGGTTCTGAAAAAATAAGCTATCTTATGGTTACCAAATGAGCCAGAGTGATGTAAACCAACATGGTAGATTTTCTTGTTAAACTTTTTGAAGTTTCCTAAATCTAATGCAGGTTTATGATGCTGCGGTGGGTGACATTGCTATTACTACGAATCGGACACGACTAGCCGATTTTTCACAACCATTTATTGAATCCGGTCTTGTTGTAGTGGCACCAGTTAGGCGGTCGAACTCTAGTACTTGGGCTTTTCTTAGACCGTTTTCTCCGTTAATGTGGTGTGTTTCGGGACTCTTTTTCCTAGCGTTGGGAGCCGTTGTATGGACTCTAGAACATCGTATAAACGATGAATTTCGAGGACCTCCTAAAAAACAGATCGTCACAATTATATGGTAAGTGCTTGTCTCTATGTATTTTTGCTCTAAAGAGTACACTAAGGAGAGAACTGTGTATGGATTAAGCTGTCTGTCTGAATTAGGCTAAACTGTTGTTTGTTTATTGCATGTTTAGCTTTTCAACTTTGTTTTCCTCCTACAGTAAGTGTTCTTTTTTACTTTCAGAAAGTTCTTTTGCTCTTTTCAGAAATGATCAATGTGTGATCTTACTTGATCTTGGTTTATGCAGGAGAAAATACGCTGAGCACTCTTGTTCGTATCGTTGTAATTCTATGGTTATTCGTGGTTCTTATAATAAACTCAAGCTATACTGCTAGTTTGACTTCAATCTTAACGGTACAGAAACTTTCTTCGCCTATTAAAGGCATCGACGGTTTGATGGCAAGCAAAGATCCCATCGGGTACCAAGAGAATTCGTTTGTGCGTAACTATCTTGTTGG